ACACACACACACAAGGAGTGCACACACATACAAGGAGTGCACACACACATACAAGGAGCGGAGTGCACACACACAAGGAGTGCACACACACATGAACCCTTCCATTGTCTTTTCCACACTACACAGGGTCTTGTGCCTCAGTTCCCACAGCTGCCCAAACACTCCCAACCACCGGGAGATGATTTCAATCTTTAGCCCAGGCTAACCTTGAACTCACTATGCAGCTGAGGAGGACATTGAATTTCTGAACCTCCTGCCTCAGCTTCTGAGTGCTGGGGTGTGTGCCCAACTCTTACTGAGAGGTGATCTGAAGTCCATGGGAAGATGGTCATAGTTCTCTAAGGACACAAAGCCACTGCACACAGGGACCCCCGTTATCCATGGGACCAGTGCCAAGAGGGAGAGTCTCCCGCTCACAATGTCTCTGGTGGGGAACCTGAGGCAGAGAACGGGGCGAGCAAGGGCTTGGTACCATGAGACAGAAGGAAAAGGAACCCAGGGTAATTCTCTGCTACACAGTCAGCTGGAGGCCTATCTGGCTACACTGGACCCTGCGGGTGTTTGTGTGCTTGTTTGTTTGTTTGTTTGTTTGTTAAGGCCTGGTATGGTGGTGCACGCCTTTAATCCCAGTGCTCTGGAAGCAGAGGCAGGCGGGTCTCTGTGAATTCCGGGACAGCCTGGTCTACACAGAGAGACCCTGTCTCAAAGACACACAAAGGAACAAAGATAAAGTCTCACTATTTAACTTGAGCCAGCCATGAACTCACAGCTTCCACGTGCTGGAATAATAGGTGTCTGCCCACAACGTCTGCCTCCCTCTCTTCTTGGAACTCTCGCATCTCCAAGAATCCCTTACCAGGTTTCACCGGTTTGTTTGGGTTTACATTTATTTGTGCATGTGGGTGGACATGCCATGGCTGGCATACTACACCAGAGGACAAACTCTGGGAGTCGGTGTGCTCTGCCATATGAGTGTGGGGGTTTGAACTCAGATCGTGAGGCTTGGCAGCAAGCCCCTTCTCCTGCTGAGCCCACTTGCCTACCCTCCTCTGTTGTCTCTGAGGATGGAGGGGCCTGTATATCCTGCTGGGGGCTTGACACACAATAGGAGCCAGTCACTGCAGGCCACACACTGAAGGTTCCTACCTTCCTGAATCTCCAAGGATGGAGGAAAAAAAAGAAGCAAATTTTAGACAGCCTGAGTGGGAGCGGTAAGCTGTGGCTCCCCAGGCGGGGCATCGACCCAGCAAGGGGTGGGCGTCTGGCTTTGTTTGGGCAGAGGTGGGGGGCTTGGGGTGGGGGCGTCCCTGCAGACAGGGCTGCCTCTGCAGCGAGTGCTCTCTCTCTCTCTCTCTCTCTCTCTCTCTCTCTCTCTCCACACACACAAAAGCAGGAAACGCGCATTAAGTCCATTATCAATATTTTGCCTGGAAAAAAAATACGAAAAGCATTTTCTTCTCTGAAAAATTAATAACCCAGAAGGAGGGGGTGGGGAGTCACGCTTGAGCCTGGGAGGGAGAGGGAGAGCCCGGCTCCTCTCCACACAGAGCTCCAGGGTGTCTCTGAGGAGGCCGGACTCTTCCAACACCCGACTGTGCTCCCGTCCAGGGCTTCCTGTCTTCATGAGATGATCCTACCACCTCCACCTCCAGCCTCCCCCTCTGAAGATGGGGCATCTTCCACACTAAGCCGGACACCAGCTCCCACCTCCCCACGACAATCCTGCCTCTCCAGGAAACTGCTCTATCTGCAAACCCATTGCTGGTACAGGCCACAGCGACCTTGTGCCCACTTCCGACTCACCTGTGCATCACCCTCTGTTCCCACATCTGGGCATCCAGGAGCATCCTGGGAGCCCAATCACTTTCTGAACCTGAGTATCACCTAGATGTATATCAAGTCATTATTTGAACAAAGAGCAATGCCCTGTGTGTCCCTTGCTTGTCCTGGAGAGAAGATTCTAAAACACGTTTGGAGGAAGGGAAGCCAGGGAAAAACACCTTCTTCCTGGGTCCCAAGTTTCTTTTCTTGTGGCAGGGTCTTGCTATGTAACCAGGCTGGCTTCAAACTCACAGCAATCCCCCTGCCTCAGCATCCGGAGTACTAGGATGATGGTTGTGGAACACTATATCTGGCCTCAGCCTCCAAGGGGTCCCAAATGGTCCGATCTTGTGGGGTCATTGACTGAGCCTTCTGTTCCTGAGACCCTGGTGGAGCCGCCTGCTGTGGACAGACTTCAGTGTTCTGGAATAATCCAGATACTGCAAAACCTCACAGGCAGCATCTCCAGCCAGACACACTGGCGGTCCCCTGCTATCACCACAGCAGGAAGGAGGGAGGGGTGGCCATCCTGGGCTACATGGGACCCTGTCTCAGAGTAAAACAGTGATACTGTATTGTTCCCACAATCCTCCTGGCCTCCCAGAGGACAGGTGTGAGGCCAGGTCTTTGGGGGACTCGAAGGCCCAAGTAGGACCTGGGAGCCCCCGAATCACCAAGGCTAAATTGCTATCGCTTGGAACCCCTCTTATGGGGACCCCCGACTCTGGTTGCCCCAAC